GGTTGAAACATGTAAAATGTAACTACCCATAATCCTTGTTGGTCTCAGCTTTGTAGCTTTTCAGGCTTTTTCTAACTTTATTGAAATAAGTGTATAATACTTTTATAAATCAACTGATATGTTGTTCTCGATCAATTATTATGTAAAACTGTCAGTATTCTTTAGTAAACCTTTAAAGATAAAATTCAAGTTTTATAGGTCTTTGTATTAAATTATCACTCAACCAAAGCAGTCAAAGATGTTTGGATTTTTGGCTTCTGCCAATCCAATCCAATATAAATTACTATCTCAGAACTTAACATTAGAAACTATTTGTTAGACTGAAGGCAAATTCCCAAGTGTTTGGAATTAAAACTAGTTGTTGTAAGTTATAAAATATTCATGATGCTATGTTAGCGAAAAAGGGATATTAAAAAAAAAAATGGATTTTAGAAGCTGCACATGCACAGCTCCCACAGAACAGCTATTCATCCCATGTGAAGGGAGAAAAACCGGAAAATCCGGAGTAAAACCCTCGAAGCAGATCTAAAGAAGAGAACCAATAGCAACTCTACTCACATATCATTTGATATAAATCTTTACCTTAAATCGTTCATTCTTTCCTATGAAGAAGTCAAGTCAAATTAAGTCGGAAAGTTTTGAATCTCTCCACCTTTGCATGCACTGTAAGGGTTCAGCAGTTTTACATCACAATTTACCACTGGTGGGATCCCTGTGTTGCATTTCAGTCCAAGAAAAAGCGAAAWGTTCTTTTTTAAGGCCCTGTTACACTTTGAAAATTTTAGCTGAAACTAGAAACTTACTTGTAACGGCGCTGCGAGACAAGTTTCACGGGGTGTTACACGGCGCAATTTTGGCTTTGTGAAACTTTCGTCACGAGAAAGTTTCACGAAAAGTAAAACAGCTTTCTACTCGTGCAACTGAAACTTGTGTCGGGAACAAGTTTCAGAACGAAATTGCTCCGTGTAACACCCCCGTGAAACTTGTCTCGCAACGCCGCTGCAAGCAAGTTTCAGCTAAAATTTTCAACGTGTAACAGGGCCTTTAAAAGATGCTAAATTTTTACAGTGTTTTGCCTGTGGCGCAATTGAGCCCCTCCCCTTCTGCGGGTCTTAACAAGTTGTTTTCGTACGTCTTCTTTGTAGAAAAGGAACTTGTTCTTGATATGGTGCGAGCTGTTACTACATCTGACCGCGAGTTCAGGGAAGGATATAACACAGTGGTTCGTTCACCACCATATGAAGATCAGCTGCTGCAGCAAGAAGCAAGCCTTGACCTTGATGCCATCAAGAAGTACAACAATGAAAAGCAAATAGAGAAAGAGGAAGAAGAGAAATTGAAAGAAATGGCAGAGGAAGACGCTGAAAAACCAAAGTAAGTTGATAGTAAAAGGCTTTGCAGTATCGCATGAGTCTTTTCCCTTGGGAAACTAAATTCTTTCCCGCGTAAACCAGATTAGACTAGAGTCAATCGTTCCTGCCTCCTGTCATGGCTGCCATCACGTGATTAGGGCTCTTGGTTTTCTGCACAACAATCACCACAGCATTCCCGCGACTTTGTTGTCTTTTGTTTAAAAACCTATTCTTAATTATGGTTCCTAACGTTTGAATGTTGTATTGTAGGAGTCCTAGATCTGGCTCTCAGCAGGGCTACACTCAGTACAAATGGACAGCTCCTGGGAACAAACCAAGTTCACCGTTTATTGCAACTGAAAAGAAAAATGCACTCGTAGCCGAACAAGCAAGACCAAGGCCTGGAACAGCAGAGGCAGAGATTGAAGGTGGGTTTTCATTTTATTCCAGTTTACAGAAGTTTTAAAACAAACTCTATGGGCGGATTTAAGTCAAGGCAAGGCTTACTCAGAGATCGAACCCTGAAACAACCTCTGGGCTAATCAAAGTCAGGGCATGGCTAACTCACGCAACAAACCCTAAAACAACCTCTTGGCTGATCAAAAACAGGGCAAGGCTAACTCACAGATCTAACCCCGAAATAACCTCTTGGCTGATCTTACACGGCTGACTCACAGATAGAATTGAAATTTAGCTTGTTAGATTTGCGGAGTTAAGAAAACTGCAGAACCCGAAGAAAAAAACCGTTTAAATCCAGGGATAGACCCGAACAAACTCTACTCATATTGGATCCCGAGTCCAGGAATCGAACCTGAGATCCCAAGGGCGTGATGCGAGTGTGTTACCTCTACGTCACCCTTAATTTCAATCTCTTAACCAGAGCCTTTATTTCTTACTGCGCATGCTTGACGAAATAAATAATTATATATATATATAAATACAGTTTATTTCGTGAAGCATGCGCAGTAAGAAATAAAGGCTCTAGGCACGAGATTGCCTTAATTCAATCTCGTACCCAGAGCCTGCGTTTTTTCTGACCTGCGGCGAAGAACGAGGGCTCTAGGTACGATCATTGGCCTTGATTCACAAGGTGGTTTTTCTACAAGTGCATGCGTTCTAATTAGCAATTAGTTTATGAGCCCAAATGCATGGGCTATTGACTCGTCGGCCATGAGGGCGAGAGGCCGGACTAATGTTTTAGTGACTAGTCGGTTAAATATATAGATGCAAGGAAGTTTTGAATTAAAGTTTATAAATTTAATGTTTTGGTTTTCAAAGCTGGCACTTTTCGCTAGTACTAGGACATAACTTATAGCCTAGTAGTAGTTCATAGTAATTGGATTTGACTGATATTCTATATTTCGTTTAATTAGAGATCCGTAGTCGCCTCCAGTCAAGATCTTCACCTCGTGTGTTTGCACACCAAAGCCGTCTGAGCAACGGTCGACCGGTCTCACGTCCTCACACACAACAAAGTCTGTACATCCCTCCTGCTGAAGCACTCAACCAAGTTGCACAAAGACCTCCCAGCCATCAGTCAATCAAAAGCCAACAATCTGTTATCAAAAGTATTCTGTCCTATAAACCACAACAAAATTAAGATTGAGTGAATGAATAACCGTTGATACTAATGAGCACCCACTGCACTGCAACGATGGCCGTTATCTTGGCACACGCTATTAATAACGAATTGAAACATCCTTACCTCACTTAGCTTTACAACATTTAAGAATTTCCTATTTCTAATCCTTTGAAAATGCGTGACGGAATTGCGTGACAGAATTGCGTGACAGAATTGAACTTGCAATAAATCTAAAACCAAACATCGATAATACAAAATTATTTTGATAGGAGTTTTCTTCTAATGCTATAAACAAAATATTCGACAAACAGTTTTGTGCGGTGAATACTTTGGATTTTAGTTTTTTTGAAGACGTCACGTGAAAACCAAGAATTGGAATAGACGTTTTTACCTTGAACATAATGTTTTCCCATCTCAGGCCTCCTGTCATTCCCTTGAATATAATTTCTTTGTTTAACCGGTTGAACATGAGAAGACACATGAATATGGGTACAACTCAAACAAAGAATCTTATTATCAAGGGAATGAAGCGCCCAAGGTAAAGAGGTCTGTTACTTCCTTGTTTGAATGAGGTTAATTCATTAGGATGCATTATCAACGGTGATTAGAGACGTTTTCGTATGACTGTGAAAAGCTCACTACACGAACACGGTCATGACACGGCAAGGGATACGCCAGATAGATCAAAACCCTCGAGAATTTACACTCCATGGCATAAACACAGCGCGGACATGGTCACGCTCAGGTCACGGCACTGTCCGACTTATCACATTGCGTGAGGGAAGAAATCGGCCAATTAAAATTGTATATAATATCACGGCACGCTTACGGCGCTGATTTTTCACAGTCATGCGCGAAAACTGATCGCCGTTACCTGTGCTTGAATTTTCAACTTTTTTTTCTTTGTCGGTACTCAAGCTTCGAGTTTTGCGTGAATAATTGGCATTTGTTTACCAATATTGAATTCATAGTCATCTTATACTAAAAGTCAGAAGGACATGGAATAATCATCTTTGAAAGATTCAAGTCAATGTATGACCTTTTTTACATTACTAACACAAAGTTGTATGCAATAATGAGGGCATATGGTTTACCTTGTATATAAAGCTACTAGCCGTCGTATGAGGGTGATGATATGTGGACCATATTTTGGGAAGGAGAGCAGTGGATCATGGGAATTCATACCTCCCCGACTTCCCATGAAAATAAAATGACTAGTTCACAGGATAAAGAATTACCAAGAACAAATCTTTTGTTCAAGTAAACCAAAATGGCGAAAAAAACATGGCCGCCATGATGGTTGAAATGACAAAAGAAACACAGAACAAAATCTTTTTTTCAAGTCATCCAACATGGCGGCTATGACGTCACATGCACAAGGGCAAAAGACATGGCCGCCATGATGGTTGAAATGACAAAAGAAACACAGACCAAAATCTTTTTTTCAAGTCATCCAACATGGCGGCTATGACGCCACATGCACAAGGGCAAAAGACATGGCTGCCATGTTGGTTGATATATCAAAAGACACCAAGACCAAATCTTTTGTTCAAGTCATCCAACATGGCGGCTATGACGTTTTATTAATTTGAATTAGAATGACACTTTGACAATAGTTTATTTAAACACGTATCATAGAGGAGCTATCGCTCGTTAAAACATGAACGTGTTGAACTTCTAAACATTGGACTATATTTCACTCATCGTTTGGTCGATATTGAATAATTAGCACCGTTAAGTGCGCATGCGCATCCTTAATATTTGAAAATTTAAACTAAACTGAGAGCTTATTGCTTTTTGCTTGGATGAGAGTGACCATGTTGCCAAATCATTAAAATCGGTGTTATCTGTTTTCGTGTGTACAGTCTGGATAATTAAAATCTAACATTAAAACCAATTAAACTGTACTTTGACTCGTAAAACATTGATATTTTATTTATTTTTTATTTTATTTATTTTTTAATTTAAGGCATCTTATTACAGTGAATTTCACACCGAGATTTGACGTCAATGTGAAATTGAAAGTAGTTTTAGTTCAACAAAATTAAAAACGAGAAACATGCAATTACCTTATTCCTTGAAATATAATTTATCTTCCACGCAAACAAAAATTGCTTTTGGACTTTTAAGTTTTTTGATATGCATTTTATTCACCAATAACATTGCACTTCAAGCAGAACATCATTTAACCATAGTGCTTCAATTATTTCCACTTAATATCGTAAAACGTGAGACAAAAAGTGAAGTTCAAGAGTAAAATATTTTCAAACAGCTGCAGGTTTCTATGTATACTCCATTTGTAGAGACCTGTCACAAATTTGCACGTAAATGAGTTCTGACGAACAAAAAGTTATGCCGCCGCATTAATGTGGGGATGGCGATGGTCATAAAACTAAAAAACAAAATCGATTTTTGCTGCCTTCTGCTATTCAAAAAGCAAGGCAAAAAAATAATAAATTAAGAAGCTGGCTTATTTCAGTTTATGATATATGTCATATAACAGCAGGTGCGTTATTGAAGAGTTTCATTCATGGTAAGTTTGTTGTATTTGGCAGTTGTTCATAGATAACTCAACAAATGCCACATTTTAGATCTTTTCAGTTGGTGGAATAAAACTAAAAATACGCTAGCAGAGTAGCAGATACATACGGGTAAATTTCACCCTTGAAGGACACGCTTTCGTTATTTAAAACGAGTCAGAATAGTCGGCTTTTATATATAGCAAACGGAAATATAAAAAGTAAGTACTATTTGCTCACTTTATGTGAGAATGCTTGAGTGAGTTTACCAGTCGACATGTCTATGGCCACTCGAGTTCCCTGGAAAACTGCGGCGCGCACGTCTTGATCGTTTTCGCTTTTTTTCTTTTATTTGCGAACATTTTAAAAGTTCAGTGACTTTTTCGGTTCTTTCATCAAAATTGAATTTTATGCACTTGTTTTGTTTTCTTTATTTCATTTGCCTTTCAAATCTGCTTCCATTATAAATAAACTCATTTATATCTAGTTTATCCTTTCGAGTCAGCGTTAATGTATCACATGATTAATAATTCTATTCACTGTTGTGATGATTTGGTTGTGTGAGCAATCTTATATTTTTCGTCAGATTACTGGCTGTCAATCAAAACACACGTCACAACGAAGCTTCCATAGCAAATGCGTTAAAACCAATAACTCGGAATCACAAAGAAAAGGAAATTTTAGTGAATACAACGAATTCAAGCAAAAAAAAAATCCATCAACAGACAATGAAGTCCTCGCTTGAAAACGCCAGTAATCTTTCTGATACAGGAGAAGAAATGGCGCTGAGATTTCAACGTGCACGAAAAGCTTGGAAGCTGCCTTCTCTCTTGCTATTTTTAACAGTTTTCCTGTCTGTCTGTGCTGCCATCTTTAGCCACCTCGAAAGTGAAAATGATCAAGCTTTATATCAGGAATATCAGAAGCGAAAAAACCTCTATGTCGAAAAATACAATATGAGTGAGGAAGAGTTTTATCAGATAATGGTGGATTTAACTGTCATGAAGAAAAAGGAATTTTACTCTTCGTATAGAGACGACTGGGGATTCTATCATTCGTTCTGGTTCGTTATTACAGTCATTACTACTATGGGTAAGAATAAGTCTCAGCAATCATAAGACTGATACGATCGAAAAGAATATCTTATATAACGTGTAAAAGATTGTTTTTCATGTATCTCAAAAATTTTGTCAGCTTAATGTCAGCTATAACGTTCTGAAGCTTTTAGTTTTGTTATACGTAAATGAAAAAAGTAAAAGATTTCAGAACCTTAAAACCCAAAGCTTCACCACAACAACTTTTTGAACTCCACACAAACTTGAAAATTATCAGCGAAATGTCAAATTGTTTCATCAGCTTCATGCTATAACGTTCTAAGCTTTGAAAAATTTGTTTAACGTGAAAGAAAATGTAAAACATTTAGAACCTTAAAATGCAAAGGCTACAAAATTTCTTTTGAGCTCCAAGCAAAGAAAATATGAGCAAAATTTTGTGATTTTTCAAAATATTATTTGAGATAAGCCAAAGACTTGAAAGCTTGGAGGAAGATTTGTGTTGTTTTTTTTTCCTTTTTACTATCATTTTTATTTAATGATTGTTTTCTAAAGACATTTTTAATGAATACTGGCAAAACTACTTCAGAATTGAAAATTGAATTTCATATCCCTCTGCAAACATTCTATTTTGATTTGATTTAAGCTGACCTATCACTAAGTTATTTTAAACAATTGACGCTCACTCAAGAAAATATATGTCTTTATTCGTTAATGARTGGATCATCAAAACAGTTTCCATAGTAACACTAGTAGATATAGAAATATAGATAAGTTATAGTGCTTGGGAACGAGGTTATTCCGGGCGAAAGCCCTTGGAATTAAATTCGGAAAAATTAATTTCCGGCCTCGCTGGGAAACGAACAGTAACACTAGCTAGCTTGTAAAGGCAGGAAACTACTGCCGGATTGAAAAATACCGAAACGTGACGTCATCAAATTCCATATTTCAAATCAGTTTTGAAATGTTCATATTTGAAGAAAACACCACATTGCCTTCATTCCTGCCAGCTTTGAGGTCGATGCAAGCTGCAGAAATGAAGATATTCAGAGATATTGGGCGTCCGCATGAATTATTAATTTCACACTGGATCCAATCAGTTCTAGCACCAAATAGATAAGAAGAATGTGATGGGGATATTTTTGTTTAGAATTGCCACAGTTAATGGACCGGAATGGTTTGGAAACCTATTGTTCTATGTTTTTGTTCGTCTTTATCCATTGTTATATGACGTTGACCCTGCACAGAGAAGGAAACGTTGCTCCATTTGTTCACAGTATTAGGGAATATAAGTTTTTTACCCTTAAAAATCGTTCTAAAATGTGTACTATTTGTTAATTAATCCTATATGATTAATATTAATTGTTTATTGGAAAGGAAATTGCCTTTTTTAATGCTTTCTTATTTATCATCTAGTAACTTAACTGTATCTGCACGGCAATATTTATTCGCATGGTTTTTGGTCATGGAATGAAAGTTTTTACTTTCAAAGTGTTCATACGTGAAAATAATAAGGAAATGAGCATTTTCAGCCATACTTGCTTTGGTTCATTGTCCACCGTCAGTAACACGTGATGGTACGATTCAACTTCAAAAACAAAACAATAGCTTTGTTCTATGGAGCTTCCAAACCATTCCACTCCATTAACTATGGACTTGCCTATATTTAGATCTTATTATATGACCACTTTTCATTGAAAAGGACAAAATGTTTCGCCGTAAGATTAATATGCGATCGGACCGGTTAATACCGGAGAATCTAGACCAGTCCGCGATGCGATCTATCCAATCAGATTGCTCGATTTGCTAGTGTCTAGGCTCTAAGATTCACGGTCATATAATAATATTACGTACTGCGTTTTTTCATTACATCGCTAAAGTCCTAAATGTCGTTATATTCTAACCGTGAATACTCGAGTTTGTCAACCAAACTGATAACGAATCGAAAACAGTAGAATTCGAGCTATATGTATTGAAAGTCTATAGAAGCTATTCAAGGGTATGAAATGATGAAAGAAAAATAATAACAAAAGTATATTTACACTAAAAAAACATAAAATAAAATGAACTCTACTGTTCACGGTTAGACTTAGAAGAACGACAGTAAAAACCAGTCTTTTGAAGTTTTCAGTTGTTGAGTTGATTGACTGATATGAGTTTTGTTTTTCTCCAAGGTTTTGGTCATACCGTACCAGTAACGCTTGGTGGTCGGTTCTTCTGTATCGTCTGCGGTCTTCTTGGGATTCCCCTCAACCTGCTTGTCCTCAGGAATGTGGGGGGAAGAATCTCCAAGCTTATCACCGAGGTCATCAGTAAGTCGGAAAGAAAATGGAGGCGAATGGACAAGAATCCGAAATATCGTAAAGTTAAATGTGCTACTGTCTCCTTCTCATTAATGGTTACCTTCATTTTGATTGGTGGAGCCCTAGATACCATATTCGATGGCTGGACCTTCTTTGACGGAGTTTATTTCAACTTCATTGCTCTGAGTACCATCGGGTTTGGAGACCTTTTCCCGAGAGTCGATTCGGCTACGAAGTTAAATCGATTGGGTGACAATGGCAAGCGTATCTTTGTGTCATCGTTGATGCTGATCTACATGATCATCGGACTGTCTATTACCTCTTCTGTGATTCTGTCCATTCTGAACGTGTTTGAAGAAGTTTCTCACATTGAGGTCCAATGGAATCGAAAGGGAACAGTACAAAGCCTTGAATCTGTGTTTCAACTGCGCAAGTCCAAAAGTACAAAATCACTTGACCAACAAGACAAAAGAGCGCCAAATGTTGTCATCACTTCGGCCGCACTAGAAGATATCCATGAACATATTAGTAATGGTGGTTTTGATGGCAAGAGTGATCAATATGGTACTGATCAAGGCATGCAAACATGCTTTTAAAGAAAGCACAAAGCGGAGTCATGGATAAAATTCATTTTACCGTACTCTCTGAACGAATGGAAACAGAGTGGACCAGCCGGCTTTGACTTTAAAACAGACGTGTCATATACAACACAAAGATGTTAATGAACCTCTATTCTTGGAGTGCATGTTACGTCATACGTCATGTTGGTTGACTATAAAAAGCATTCCTCATTAAGCTTCTCTCGTTAGATCAACCAAGATGGCGGCGGTTTCATTGTTGTTTATATCAAGGGATTTTTCGGTCACGTGCTTGCACTCCAAGAATCCCACGATGACTTGACAAGAAAAAGGTCTCCCATCAAAGACAACAATGAATATTGTAGTCAAGCTATGACAATAGCAACTTAAAAAGTAAGAATAGGATAAAGAGAGAGAGAGAGAGAAAGAATCATAAGTGAAACGTTTATATATCAAAATTAATAATTTAAAATAATAAAAAAAAAGAATTTGAAAAATATACTTGGCATAGATATGCATGAAAGAGGTTATGAAAGTAGAACTACAGCTACAGCAAACATTACGAGAGCCCTTCCAATAAAAATTAAAATATATCTGTAGATCAAGAGGGTTGTCCAAAATAGACGATCTGATACGGACGGTAAAAGTATTTTACCGACGGTACAGATGGTGAAAGTAATTTATATGCAAGAAATGCGCATATAATTAACAAATTTGGTTGTTACGTAACGTTTATAAATGAATTACGTAGTACTTGAAGTTTAAGTACTTCAAAAAAAACGTAGCGGACTTAGC